TTCCCTGTGCCAAAGTTCTCAAGTTGGTCCCAATTCCCTCATTGGTGGTCCTAATAGTTTGGGGTTTAACTTCAAGGTCTGTGATACACCTTGAATTTATTCTTGTGCATGGACTGAGATAGGGTCTTGATTCATTTTTCTGCAGGTAGCTATCCATTTTTCCCAGCATGACCTGTTAAAGAGGGCATCTGCTTCCTGAAACTGAACTTGTTTAAGGGAAAGATTTAAACCTAAAACTCCTGAGAATACTGTTTTTGGAGAAGATTATAAGTTCCCCCAAAGAAAGTCTATTTAGTCAAGGTCCCATGTATGCAAATATCAGAAAAGGTAGTTGAAGGTACAAGTTTTGGGAAGGGGAAATGCATGTGGATCAAGCCTCTAGTGAATCCCTTCTGACCACAGACCAGGTATGTGACTAGACTTGATATCATGCAAAATGCATTGCAACATATATTATGGCAGATGTAGTTAGGTTAAAATGTAACCCTTATAATTTGATCTCCCTTTTGACCCATTTTAAAGTTGTTCTAATTTTTAATGTTTTCTTCTTCATTTCTATTGAGATCTTTCTCTATTTTAATTTTATTGCTGTTGGTGTTCTGTTTTTTATTGATGTTTTCCTGTATATGAAATCCAAGATAGGTGAACTGTACAGACAGTAACTGGATTAATGGTTTCTTGGGAGTGTGGCAGGGGAGGTTGGGGTGGGAGTTAGGAGCTAATAACAATGAGTACAAGAAAGAAGAAAATTGATAGTGGTAATGATTGTACAGCTCTTCTTGTTATGATTGAACTATTGAATTGTGTGCTATGTGGATTATGTGCCGATAAGATCATTTTAGAAAACAATAACCTATATGCAAAATAAGAAAATAAATATATTCTATAATTTTCCCTCCACAAAATGCAGGTTTTGTGTTTTTCTATCATACATTTTTGTACTCTTCCCCCAACTACTTAATTTATCCCTTCAAAGAATGCCTTGTTGCAATAGAGGAGAAAATTGGGAGGCAAAAGACATTTATAGAGGTATAAATACAGGCACATACATATGTAAATATATTTTTATATAACAATAGGGATGTAGGCTTATGTACATATATTTATAAGGTAAGTATTACGGGAGCAGATGGACATTGGGCCTCTACTCAATTACTCCTTCAATGCAAGAACACTTTGTTCTAATAACCTGGCGTCCTGTGATGCTCACCTTCCCGACATGATCAATGAAGACAAAATGGGTGCATAAGCAAATGTAGTGAAGAAAGATGATAGTGCCTGGCTATTAAAAGATATAGAATCTGGGGTCTTAAAGGATTGAAGATAAACAAATGGCCACCTAGCAGGGAAGCAACAAATTCACATGGAAGAAGCACACCAGCATATAGTGATCACGAGTTGTTGACAGGATCAGGTATCTGGCATCAGAAAACCCCAAAGAGACTGTATTAGTCTGGGTACTTTGGAGAAACAAATCCACAGAAACTCATGCATAAGAGAGAGTTTTATATAAAGGTTATGCATCACGGAAACATCCCAACCCAGTGCTGCCCAAGCCCACAAGTCCAACATTAACCCATATGTCCAACACCAATCCAGAAAGTCCTCCTCCACCTCACAAAGCAGACGCAATGATGCCGACTGCATGAGGAAAGCCGAATCAGTGAATGTGTAAGCATCTAAGCACTGGCAGGGGTGTCCACACGGCTGCTCCAGCACCCAGGACTGCATCGGGGTAGGTCCATGTGGCTTCTCCTTGGGGATGTCTTGCAGGAAGTCAGCCACCTAGCAGGGTGAAACTGGGAACTGCTAAGGCACCCTGGTCCAACCATCACAAAGCAAGAGACCCGAGAACTCGAAAGGCGAGGCCTCACCAAGCCATTTATCCCTCCACCCTTCAATTAATCCTACATGTGTTTATTGACCAGGTTGGCACAATAAACTAACTCAGAAACAATCATATCGATGTGAATGAGAGGGGTGGGAGTGGAGACCCAAAGCCCATCTGTTGACAATTGGACATCCCCTCACAGAAGGGTCACAAGGAAAGGATGAGTCAGCCAGGGTGCAGTATAGCACTGATGAAACATGCAACATTTCTTTTTTTCTTTAATGCTCCCCCCCAACTTCATTATCATGACCCCAGTTCTACCTTACAAATCTGGCTAGACCAGAGAACACACATTGGTACAGATAAGAGCTCTCAACACATGGAATCCAGAACAGATAAACCCCTCAGGAACAGTAATGGAAGTAGTAATACCATGAGGGTAGGGGGAAGTTGGGAGGGAAAACAGGGAACCAAGCACAATGATCAAGGTATAACTCCCCCACCCCCCAAGTGGCAAACATCAGGAACGTGGGTGAAGGAAGACAGCAGATGGTGTAAGATATGAAAATAATAATAATTTACAATTTATCAAGGATTCATGAGGGTTGGAGGGTGGGGGAAGGAGGGAAAAAGAGGCGCTGATAACAAGGGCTCAAGTAGAAAGAAAGGGTTTTCAAAAGGATGATGGTGACATGTGTACAAATGTGCTTGATACAATGGATGTATGGGTTGTTATAAGAGCTGGAAAAGCCCCAAATAAAATGATTTATAAAACAAAAACAAAAATGAATGCCTTGTTGCTGATAGGAGCCCAGCTGAAACCACATGATCAATTAATCTTTGTTAATATCCCAAAATAAGTTTTCTTGAGTCATAATTTATAAATATACTCTTCTTACTTTTTAGGATGTCAAACTTGGGACAATTTGACTCTGACTTTTATCAATCCAATTATACTATTGATCAGGAGCAGAGTTGCAATGATGCTAATGCCTATGATTCTGTGTATGGATCTAGAAAGTAAGTACTTTTTATAAATATGCTCTCATTTTAAGAAGTCATCATAAGATGGCATTTGAGGTGGATAAGATTTCGATAGGGGTAGTAAATGTCCTCAGCAAACTTCATCGACGAGCCTAAGAAAAAATGTCAGGAAGGGCAGACATTCATTCATTCATTCATTTATCCATCAATATCTTTATCACCTCAAGCCCATTGATAGGTGAATGACTTGTTGCTCTACTGTGAGGTATCCCTTAAGAAGCAACCTGAAAGCAGCCTCATAACATTGAACTTGATGGCTCTATAGGATTCTACCTGAGAAACAAAGTCCATTGAACTTTATAAACATATGTGAAATTCCTGCCTTTGTGTCAAAGATTAGGGAGGGTGCTGCAAACCCAAAGCCAAGAAGAAATTCATGTTCTTTTCCTCATGGCATTTAGAAATTTATGTTTAGATAGTCACCTAAATATGCAATTATCATACAACACAAAAAGTGCTGTGATGTAATAGGGATGAGCATAATTGAAAATGAGTTATTTCACTTGAATATTCAAACTGAGTTGAAAATAGAACAAACATGCTTATATATTTACCATTTGTTCTTTTCTAATGGAAAACAACAGCAAAACGTAAGATTTAGAGAGAAGAATTTGGACCTATTCTGGCTCCGACATTGTTTTGGCATTGAGAACGACTGAAGTTTTCTGTCATAATCTGATAAACAAAGACATTCATAATACCTACATCGTGGAACAGCCATAGAGAACAATCATGAAAAGAAACACACTAACTAAGAAGACCACTAATATAAAAGCTGCTTACCCATAAAAAGCGCTTGCAAAAGCAGTTTACCTTTGTTGTCTAAGTTTGTGTGTTACGGAATTGATTTCTGAGCGTAGCACTGTGGGTCTGGCTTAGTGGAGAAGAATCGTCAGGCCCTTCAACTTTCATAAGTAACAGTTACTGAGCTCTCGCTGTGTGTTAGGAACTGCTCTGCGACTTACATAAACAACTCATAAATTACATAAAGTCTCCTAAACATGTTTGTGAGGTGGGTACTTTTTGTTATCCCCAGTTTAGAGATAAGAAACCAAGGACACAGATACATTAAGGAAGTTTCCCAAGATCAGGCAGTTACTTTTTTGAAATGGGCTTATAATTGTTATCCAAAGTTGTTTGATGAAGGTTGGGAATAACATTTATTGTCAAAGGAAAACATTTATGATAGTAAAAATGGATTTTGGATCATCCTAATAACCTTATAACAAGTTAATTTACAAATTATAACTAAATTTACTAATCATTAAAACTTATCTATTTCTTAAGCCCAGAAAAGTACCTTAACTGCTTTAGCAGGAAGAGAAGGCAGAATTAACGCAACAGACAGTGGAAGTCTTTTGTTTAAACCATGCCAAGTACATTGTGGCCCCTGTTTGCATTGACTAATTACTCCTGTGGGCCCTAGCAGTTAGGTCTGCATTCAGAAACTGCTTCCTGGTCCCCAACCACTGCTCTGTCAGGGTAGCGGGAGGTAATGGTGATTAATGCTTTTAGACTGGGAAAATAAATACTCTGCACTTTCATCTCATTCTCTTGCATATTCTACCTTTTCTGGCATTGGCAGGCTGCTGCAGTCTTTCTTGAAGTAACAATCTCCAAACACACACACGCACACTCACACAAACACACACACACACACACACACACACACACAAATGCTTTCAAAGCCCTTTATGAAAAATGAGGAAAATGATAAGGCTGTATAGAATTGGATCCGCCATTGCAGAATCCAGCAAGAGGAAGATAATTTGATTCTATTTCATATATGGTTTATTCCCTGGATGAAATTATCCAGACAAAGAAGTAAGAGAAAAGTGGTCTATACACAGAGTCTATGTGCATCATTAAGGTATCACAGGCCGGTCACTCAAAATATTCAAGCCACGGTAAGAGTTATCCAACAGGACGTTTCAGCTCTGTTCTTTCCACTCCACAGAAAAGTTCCATTTGCCTCGAATCTTCTGGTTTCTTTCCCGTTCTCGTCTCCAGCTGGGATAAGCATTTGGGTTTCACCTGGTGCCTGCATTTTCATACTAAACCAAGGAAAGCCCAATAAAACAACAAAGTTTTCTCCTTATGATTTCTCCCTCCAGCCCACCTGCCCCAACAATGCTCCAGCATCAGGATGATAAAGAGAGGGAAGTGAATATGACCAAATGAGGAGCACTCAGAATGTACCCTTGATGACCAAGCCTGCCTTAGATACTTAGCATTTAAATACAATCCCTGGTTTGGATGTACTAACATTTAAATTCCAAACCACAATGCATACCCAGGAATTAGTAGCAGGCACATTAACTGTCGAAGTTTTATGAGGTACATAAACTACAGAGTCGGGTTAGGGGTTTACCAGGGTACGACAAGTGAGCTCCACAGATTTGATCTTTGATTCATACAGCAAACAGGGTCAATTAAAATATACTCTAAATGGATTCCTAGCCAAAGACTTATGATTCTGGAGGATACCTATAATCAATCAATCAATTACTCGCGCTCCCGCTACTAAAGCTTATTTTTCAAAAAGCTTGTTCAGCTTAATGGTATACTATCTGAAAGTTGATTGATTATACCAACTCAGGAAATGAAGATATTTATATTTTAAAACAATGGTTCTTATTTTAGAGTAAACAAGGATTTTTTTTTTTCATTTAAGGTGAGCCAGCCCCACTCCCACCCCCACCCACCAAACTTAACTAGCTGGTTATTTGGAAAGGAAACAAAAACCACACCTGTTGCTACAGAGTCTATCCTGACTCATAGTGACCCAAGGACAGAGGAGACCTCCTCCATAGGATTTCCAATGCTGCAAGTCTTCTATTAGAAACACTACCACATCTTTCACCTACGAGAGTGGCGATTGGGTTTGAACCACTAGTCTTTTGGTTTGCATCTGAGTGTTTAACCACTTGCCACAAGGGCATAGGGACCTAAGCTATATTTTCCACTATATGTTTCTAATTTGGGGGAGTATGAAGCCTATTTAAATTATTTGGAGAAATAACATATCACTGAGAGATGAGGACAACTGAAAAGGCCATTTAAGTATTTTCATAAGAAGTCAACAGCTACTGGGTCTACAATCTACATTTTCTTGGCAAAGTAGAGGGGCAGAGAAAAAGAAGAAGACCTTCAACAAGACGGACAAACACAGTGACTACAACCATGAGCTCAAGCGTAGGAATAACTGTGAGGATGGCACAGGCTCAGCCGCTTGTTTTGTTTTGTTGTGCATTTGTGCACAGGGTCGCTATGGGTTCGAATCCATTCAATGCTAGCTAACAACTATAACTGAGTCATCATTTTTTCTGAACCAGACCTGATCATCCTCTAATATTTCAAAGATTAAAAAAAATCATTGCCATTGAGTCTATGCTGACTCATATGCATAGCCAGTTCCTGTGGGTCTCTGAGACTGTAGCTGATAATGGGAGTAGAAAACCCTGTCTTTCTCCCACTGAGCTGCTGGTAGTTTAGAACTGCCAACCATGTGTATTGAAGCACAAAGCATAACCACTATACCAACAGGGCTCCTGTTTCAAAGATAGTTAATGGCATTATTGTGCTTCCAGGTGGATCAACCAGACGTGCGAATGCTACACAAACTAGAGCTCTCCTAACGTTTCCCCTAAACCATGCTAAAATGGAACCGATTTTAAAATATGGTCTTACCAGGGTCACTTAGAATACCTGGTTTTATTGGCTCAACATTAAGGCATAGATACAACTGGAATTTGAACGCAGGGAATCAGACTCCAAAAGCCAGTTTCTCTAACTCCTCTCTTGGATTCAAGATAAACCATGCCCGTTTCTGGGCCTAGTTCTAGCAAGACAGTATTTATAAAAATTTTTGGTTTTGAATTTTCCTATGCAATTTCTATAACACCCCATCCCAAAAGAAATATGGTCACCTTGTCACACATCTTTCCTGGTTTTAAACCATGCACATTCCCCCCCCGGTGGATGAACAGGTTGTACATGAGCAAAATGAAGTGTTTCCTTTCTTCTCTGCCATCCATAGTTTGTTATGATCTACACAGTCAAATGCCTTTGCATAGTCAATAAAGCACAAGTTAATGCCCATCTGACATCAGCCATGATGTTGCTCACCTCAGATCTTCTTGTGAATATGGCTAGACTTTCTGGTAGCTCCCTGTTGATGTATTGCTGCAGCAGTTCTAAATTATCTTCAGGGACACTTAATCTGCATGTGATATTAAAAAAATTGTTTGATAATTTATGCATTCTGTAGTCACTTTTCTTTAGAAGGGGTACAAATATGATTCTCTTCCACTTGGTTGACCAGGTAGCTGTCTCCCAAACTTCTTGCATCAGTGAATGAGTGCTTCATCAGTTTGTTGAAACATTGCGAGGGGTATTCATTCCAGAAATTCCTGGAACCTTGGTTTTGGCTAATGCCTTCAGTGCCGCTTGGACATCTTCCTTCCGTTCCCTTGGTTCTTGGCCATATGCTACCTCTGGAAATGGTTGAATGTCAACCGTTTTTTGGGTATAGTGACTCTGTGTATTCCTTCCACTTTCTTTTGATGGTTCCTGTATCATTCAATATTTCCCAATTGTTGTTGCTAGGGGCAGTCACATCGGTTATATCTCAAGTGACTCTGTGTACAACAGAATGAAACGCTGTCTGGTCTTGTGAAATCCTCACATTTGTTCTTCTGTTTGAGCTAATTATTGTGGCCACTGTGTCAATGCATCTTTTTGAGGGCCTTCCTCTTTTTTTGCTACCCCTCTATTTTATCAACCATGATGTCCTACCCCAGGGACCAGTCTCTCCGGACAACATGTTCAAAATACATGAGATGAAGTCTGCCATCCTTGCTTCCAATGAGTATTCTGGCTTGTATTTCTTCCAAGACTGATTTAATTGTTATTTTAGAAGTGCATGGCTCGTACCATATTCTTTGCCAATTTTGATTGCCATAATTCAAATGCATCAATTCTTCTTGTTCTTCCTTATTCAGTGTCCAACTTTCACAGGCATTTCAGGCGATAAGAACACCATGGGTTGGGTCAGGTGCTGCTTAATCCTCAAAGTAGTAGCCTTGCTTTCAACATTTCAGAAAGGTCTTATGCGGGGACATACCCATGCAATGTTCCCGTTGATCTCCTGACTGCTGCGTCCAGGAGCAATGGTTGTGGATCCAAGCAAGACAAAATCCTTGACACCTTCAATCTTTCCTCCTTTTATCGTGTTACTTATTGGTCCAATTGTGAGGATTTTCATTTTCTGTACATTGAGGTGTAATCCATACTGAAGACTATAATCCTTTATCTTCATCAGTACACGCTTCAGGTCCTCCTCATTTCGGGAGGCAAAATTGTGTCATCTGCATATTGAAGTTGCTAAGAAGCATGCCTCCACACCTAATGTTGCATTCTTAAATAATCTAACTTCTCTAATTATTTTCTCACCTAGAGAGTGAATCAGTACGGGGAGAGGATTTTTCCTTCAGAATCTTTCGATTGTAACTGGAGCCTTGGATTTTTTCTTCAGTTCTTTCAGCCTGACACAGGTGGAGCGTGTTCTTCCTCTTTGGTTTTCTAACTGCTCATCTTTGCACATTTCACGAGTCTCCCAAGCTGCTCTTTGACATTTGTGGTTCGGCTCTTTTACTAAATCATTTCTTCCACTTGCTTTAGCTACCCTACAATTAAGAGCAAGTTTCAGTCTCTTCTGACATCCACTTTGCTCTTTTTAAAAATTTCCATATTTTTAATGACCTTCTGCTGTCTTCTTGTATGATGCTCTTGTTATCTTCGTGATGATGGATAATCTGTGCATGCATTTATTTTTCCAATTAATTTATCACAATACTAAAATAGTGAATTTTGCTTGTGTCACACCCCTGCTTTATAGGTTACTAGAAGCCCTGGTGGCCTCGTAGATTATGTGTTGGGGTGCTAACTACAAAGCCAATGGTTCAAAACTACCATCCACTCAGCAGGAGAATGATGAGATTTTCTCCTCGCACCAAGAGTTGCAGTGTCAGGAACCCACAGGGGCAGTTCTACCCTGTCCTATGAGATCCTTCACACTCAGAATTAATGAGATAGCAGTGAGTTTAGAGTGAGTTTCTGTCATGGCTAATAATTGCCCTGAAAATCAGTGAAAAATGACATTATGTAGGAGAAAAGCTCAACTTAGGACAGACACTTCAGTTTAACAGTTCAACAACAGTAATTTTATTATTTGATATTATGTAGTCAAGTAACAAAACTATAACTTTTAACCTTACAGAGTTTGATTAAGTGAGAAAATATAAGAAAAATTGCATTACATTTTACATACAGAATATTAGTTGGTATAGCTCACCTTTTCCAAATCTATTTCTTAGTCATGTATTTCTCTTGTTTAAGAAAAAATAACGTAGTTTTTGTTGTCAAGAACATGTACAGCGGAGCACGTCAATTTAATAATTTCTGTACTTCTACTTTTTGCCTAAAGTTAAACTTGAACCACTTTATTTCTTTCATGGATAGATACTGGTGGTAAATAATAAGTGAATTTATGATGGGGGAAATCATAGTTTCCTTCATCAATTTCTCATTTCTTTCTTTCTTTGATGTATGAATGCCAATATTATTTTTCCTTCTAGACACCACGCAAGTGAGTTGCCTCGGCCCGCCTCCTTTGTTCCACCAGGGATGCTCCCCCCATCGGGTTACACAGGACATTTTTTCCAACCAGCTTCCAACCCGGATTATTATTCACAATCTCCTTACATTGACAGTTTTGATGAAGAGCCTCCTTTGCTAGAAGATAAGTCAAGGAAGTGTTATTAATGTGTGTATAGCCTGAAGAATAATAGCAATAATCAGCACTTAATGTGTTCTGCCATCCTGTTGTATACTGTGTTTTATGCATGGTTGTTCCACATATAAATTAGTATTTACCAAACCAAGGCACTTAAACCACTGAGGTTTTCTGTATGTTTGCATGGGGCAAATCTGTAGTAGACATGTGCTACTGATGTTGCTATGATTCAGTACTTGTCGCACACTAACATTTGGACACCCTGGCTCCGCACAGATAAAAGTGCAGAGAGTTTTTGGAAGAGTAGTTATATCAAAGTAACCTTCCCTCCCACCCATTCAATGAATTATTTCATATCAACTTGTTTTTAAGTTGGTGTTTTCTGCTATGCTTACCTGGATGCAAAAATGGGTTGTTTAAAAATGAACATTTGTTGTTGCTTTGGTCATGGGGATCATGCCATCTTTTTTGTTCTGTTCTTCTTCCATGACTCACAGGAGCACTCTCATCCTCGAAATAGAGACACTAGAAATTTAACAAAACAACTAGGGTTGAATTTGAGAATCAAGGACAAATAGGTTAACTTCTTTCTCAATTACTTTCCATGTAGTCACGTGACAACATGGAAAGTAATTGAGAAAGAAGTTAACCTATTTGTCTCTATTTCCAGGAAAAAGTCCTGGAACTGTAATGGATTCTGCATTGGGCTGCTAACAGCAAAGTTATCCCTTTAAACCACCAACTCCTCTTTGAGGGAAAGATGAGGTTTTGGGCACCCATAAAGACTTAACGTGTCAGAAACCAAAAGAGGCGGTCTAGTCTACTCTAGAGTTGCTATGAGTCAGAGTTTACTTGGTAGAATTGAGGTTGGTTTTGTTTTGCTTTGTTTTAAATCCATTCTTCTAGAGAATATCCTTCCAGCATCATGTTGACATTCTTCATGAGCAAAACCTGAAACTAAAAATGAACTAGATATAAACATTTTAAAAATTTGTATCAATAAATGAAACTTCACTGAAAAATCCATGGACCTCCTAGTGCAAAAGTCTATGGGTTTCCTTGCCACTCAGAGTCCAATAAACTGCATTTATATCCCTGCCTTCCCATTTAGCCATGGCTACCGAGGATGAGAAAAAACAAGTGTCACGGCTTACACACACCCTTGGGTATTCTTTATAGTAGGAAAGGCTTTGGTGAGCATCATAATAAGCAACCTTGGACCTCTAGAGTCTGTCCTTTGTGTTGATCTATAACGTTAGGATTACCTAGTCATGGGCTACTTTCACTGGCAAAATGATCTCAGAAAAGTGTGTTCCAATACATCTCTATAGTACAAGGTGAGATGTCTGGTGCTGAAAAGACATTTCTGACGTTTGTGTTGCTGTTCCTCCCTACTTATCATGTTCTTTGTCAAATTTCCTATTGGAACCTGACGAAGGTTTCTTTCTTTGTTCTGTTTAGAGATACTTATATTGTGAGAATATTAATTGTTATCTGGAATATGTGTCTCAAACATTTCCGCCCTAGACTTTGTTCACCATAAAATTTCTTTACAAGACATTGGGCATATAAAACTTGTAGTATGTATGTTTAAAAATTCCACAATATTTTTCTCAGCAAATTTTCTTTGCAATTGCTCTTTTGTTTACAATCTACAAAGTTCTAGAAATACTTATTCATTCTTATAGATATTTCCATTACATTTTTTCTTTTTCTTTTGCCTTTACAATTTTTATCCACTGAGAATTATTTTAGGGTAATATGTGCAGTAAAGTTCCAACCTTATTTTTCTGTCAAATGGTTAAATGATACATAATCTGCATTATATAGCAAAAATAACTTTTACTTTTCTCCTGCTCTGAAATGTCCTTATTTTTGTTTACGACACTATTATGCCTCCTTCCCTAATAGCTCTTTAAAATGGATGCATTCCAAATGTCTGTCCAACTTCATAAGAGCTCAGAATAAAGTCTTGGATATTTTTCCTCTTTGTGATTATCTTCCAGAATATGTATTTTAGAATAAAAAGTACATAATATAAACTTGTCTTTGAAATCTATGAATGATCTAATCTTTTGCTCTAATATGCCCATCAGGCTGGGTAGCTTTGTGAAAGCCTTAAGCCTTATCTATCTTAAAGCTATAGACAGGATTGTAAGATAAATTGGCAAATGACATTGTCTAGTTTTTGTTTTAGTTCAGAGTAAAACAGCCTGTAAAATTATGAAGCCATAATAATTTACATCCCCGAACACAAGCATATTCCTTGGAAACGTGTTTGTTCATTTCTTAAATGTTTTATAGTCAAAATCACTTGCTGTAATTTTGCTATTTGATAATATGTACTTGAATATGTAAACAAATGCATCTTGAAGATAAATTCCATTTAAGATGGTCAGGCCAAAATAAATTATTGTGATATTTGGGATTTTCTATTTGTAGCACAGCCTGATGTGTATGTTTTAAAGGCCAGTGCCACCATTTGCATGGGAAATGAAGATATTAATTCATTTTTATAGTATGGTGACACATGCGATAAAAGTCTACTCTTTCCCACAGGCCATTATGAGTTGGAATAGGCTGACGTACATATCCTTATGAGTATATACTTTACCACCACTAGATGACAGCAAACAATAAAGCTTACGGTCACACTTCACAGAAGTCCCATCTCTGAATTTGTATAATGTTTTGGAGTAAAGACAAACAAGCCCCCTGCCACTGAGTCCATTCCAATTCATAGCGTGCCTATAGGACAGCGTAGAACTGTCCCTTTGGGTTTCTGAGACTAACGTCTCTGAGAGAGTAGGCAGCCGCAACTTTCTCCTGCAGAGTGACTTGAACCACTGACCTTTTGCTGGCAGCTCAATGCATACTCCACTATGGCACCAAGACTTGCTAATAATTTGTTGTAAGGTACCAAAAATTAATATATTGAATAATCTCACTTGTATATTTTATGATAATCAAATGAAACAAAATATTGTGTAAATGTATTTCTGTCCAAAATGCACATAATTTTTCTTCATGAAATATTTGGTAAATATTAGGTTTCTTCAAAAGATTCCTGGCAGAGCAGTTATTAAAGAGAGTCACACTAACGGAAAGGTCTGCAGTTTGAACCTACCAGTCTCTCTGAGGGAGAAACATAGAGCTTCGCTTCTGTAGGGACGTGGAAACCCTAGGGAGCAGTTATGCTCCAACCTCTAGGGGTACTGTGAGTCCGAATGAACTCAATGGCAGTGCGTTTGGTTTGGTATGTTTACTCACTGTTTCATGATTCAATTTTAAAACATGTGCTATTAAATAAATAGCTAATTGTGCTATTAAATAGATAGTTACAATACTTAATAATCCTCCACAAGGCATTTTCCATCTGAGTTATTTGAAGTACGATCATATTTTTTGATGAAAAGGTATAATAAATCAGACCACTTTATTATGGCAAACATAGAAAACACATTGTTAGTATACTTATAAAACAATGCAAAGTTAGAAAGCAACATAAGCCACAGGCAAAAATGAACGTTTGCGCTTGGGAAAGCAGGTATCAGTTTGGAATGAAGCAGTACAAGCTTGCCTTTGCTAGGTTGGGTCAGACCCGTGTCTGGCCGACTCTGGGTATTTCTGAGTGTGTGCTAGAACAAGTGCACTTTTTATCATGGGGACCATAAAGCTCATGCTGTATTCTGCATCTAGACTGTCAGCTTTTCAGTGTGTGAACATGGTATATGCCACTGTAAAAGATTTAGCTAAGCCCTGATTTCAGGGAGACAGTGCTTCAAGTTTAAAATTTAGCTCAATTAAGAAAAGAAACCAATATGAGATTAGATGCACATTGATCAAAGTGCAATTACATGCAAGTTTTCAAATGATAATTCTGGAATTATATGTAAGTAACTTGTCTTTGAAGTATAACATTATGGTAGGCAAAAGATTAGGTCCTGGGATACGACTATATTTTAGAGTTGTACATCCACCCCCACCCCCACCATTTATTTTGGAAATAGATCATCTGACCTATTTTCCTAATCTCTTTGTTTCCTGGAATCTCTCCTGAAACCTTTTAATAACATAACAGCCCGCCAGCTTCCAGTGGCCAATGGCTGGTGGCCGCTCTTCAGTTGCATTGGCCAGGAATAAAATCCTGGTTTCCTACGTGGAAAGAGAGTTCTTTCCACCACGGAACCCACAAAACTAAAACCAAACCCACGACTGTTAAATTGATTCTGACTCATGGACACCCTAGGACAGAGCAGAACTCCCCTACAGGCTTCAAAGGTCGTCCATCTTTATGGAAGCTGACTTCTACAACTTGCTCCATGGATAGGCTGGTGAGTTTTAACTGCCAACACTTTGGTTACCAACTTTAGCCACTATACTACCAGGGCTCACTTACCAACCTGCTACTTCCCTCATTTCTTTTTTGGTGAATATCAAATTGGTGGCTGTTTGTTTCCTTTAGAGAGCTGGTATCAGAGAAGCAGATTCTAGCAGGGAGATCAGCGAGGTGGCAGTCAGATCCTTAGGGAAGGCAGTGGAGAAACACCGAATTAGAAATGTGTTTATCAGTTTGGATTCCTGGCATGGAGCCCCATTGATTTTGTATACGTATCTCACTCTAACACCAGCACTCATAAGAGGGGATGGCTAACTTTTCTCAAGGATTAATCTTTGACTGCCCAGACCCAACCACATAATGCACTGACCTTATGAAAGCAGCCGTGTACATTATGATTACATTTACCTGGTGAGCGAGCCTTCCTCTTTTCTCCTCCATTGCATTTCCGGCAGCTAGCATAAAATTGCTCTTCTTATCAGACCATGAAGGTAAATCCTCAGACTAGGCCGCATGTCTCCAGATAGTCTTGCTAATTGAAAACTTTTGCCAAGTTTGAAATGACAAGATTTTAGAAGATTAGCAATTGAAAATATTGGAAATAGATATTTACATGCGTGATAAGAGAGGATTTTTGGTCCATGAGCTGCAATTTTATTTTCGTTTCTACTGTGTAAAGTCCACCTCCATAATTTTGAGATGATTTTAAGTTTGTATCTACTGCATACAGCTGGAAATATTTTCCCGTGGTGGAATTATTTCTTTAAGGTTTCTCTTATTGCTTGGGAACAAAAACAAATTTTTTTTTAAAAAGGGTTTTAAATGATTTTATAGATATTTTGTTTTTAAAAATGTTTTCTTACAGTTGTCATTGAGTCGCTTTGCTTTAGGAGATCTCAGATACAGCTGAATGTTTGGAATGTGGGCTTCATGGACCGGTTTTCCATATGTCGATTGTCAGACTTCTGAGGAGCTTCTGGGTAGGCTTGAAAGCGTTTGTTTGCAGCCTCCTATGTTAACAATTTTTACGATCCAGATGCTCTAAGTATGAAAGCACCTAATTAAAGAATGAGTTCTGTCTCTCTCTCTTTTTACTTATACTATTGCTTTCTTTTCCTTTTGCAGAACTTGGAATCAACTTTGATCACATTTGGCAAAAAACGTTGACAGTGTTAAATCCATTGAAACCAGCAGATGGCAGCATTATGAATGAAACAGACCTAGCGGGGCCCATCCTCTTTTGCCTTGCCCTGGGAGCCACCTTGCTGATGGTAATAATAAAGGGCAGGCGGCAAGCAATAAACTTCAATGCTTGTCCTCTCCAGTTTCAGTGCTGTGGATAGAGCTTTGTAAACTCAAAGGAAAGTATACAATATAATGGCAATTGTTCAACCCAAGACTTCATTTTTCGTGAGAAACACATTAAAGTGATCCAAAGAGATAACAAGCAAACCAAACAGCCAGCATGAGTTACTCTCTCTGTCTCTCTCTCTGTCTCTCTCTCTCTCTCTCTCTCTGCCATTGAGTTGATTTTGACTCACAGCATCAGGGTAGAACTGCCCTGTGGGTTTCCAGACTGTAACTCTTTGCGGGAGTAGAAAGTCCTTATCTGTCTCCCAAGGAACAGCTGGTGGTTTCAAACTGCTGACCTGCACATCACAGCCCAGTGGATAACCACTACACCACCAGGTCTCCTTTTACAACAAATAAAACATATATAAATTTAAATATATTAGAAAAAAACCATCCAGTCAAATTTTTATCAAGGCAAATCATTGTGTGATTACTCATCCGTCTCTTATTAAGAAAAGACTATTAGCAGGCGTGGGAAAGGAGAGGAGGGAAGGGAAGGGATAATAATAGGCTAGAAGGTACACAGGTGTTAACTTGGGTAAAGGGGAAGATAAGATCCTACAAGAGGTAGAAGAGCAAAGTAAAGGGGGTGAGGGATGAGACAGAGCAGCTCTTGGGAGGTTTGATAAGATGTTGAATATAAGAATCATGATCTGAAGTGTAAACTTCCATCTAATCGGCAATAAAAATTGAGAGAAGTTAAAAGAAATGGTAAAATCGGCAACAAAAATTGAGAAGTTAAAAGAAAGTTAAAGACTGTCCGTGTCAAATAGTTGAAGGAATACACGGGCTTGGGCTATAGCATGCTGTTTTACTGGCTGTTTACTTTGAGATTTCTGCTCTGACAGTGGAGGAGGCCCTTCTCTCCGCTGTTGCTCCTTTTCTTGCTGAAGATGTCTTTCTAGCACCTGTGAGGTCCGAGACACGCTGGCTTATTGCTGCTCCAGCTTCTATGGCTAAATTGACTTGTAATGATAGCATGATTTATTGAGTCAGCTTATGTATAATCCCTGGCGGTTTGGTTATCTGCTTCATGAAGTCATTGCTTCTGCAAGTCACTGTTTATTCGGGTTTTTTTTTGCATAGACCCCTTCCTTCTTTACATCTAGCAGTGATGGCATTAGAAATTTTCAGTAAAGGAAAGCATATTTCCACCTAAATTGAATTTAGAAGATACTCTATATCATAATTAGAAAAATGTTACATTGAAATAAAAAATAAATAAAAGGGTCTTTGCATTTAAGACAAAGAACACATGGTAATACATTTTATAAACAGAGTGAAAAGAGGTTTTATGCCAGTCTGAAAAGTAGTCACAATAAGGCACAAAGAGGTAACTGGCTGAAGAAATGGTATCAGAATCTGGCAGTTTGAGGAAAAAGCTCCTTAAATAACTGTTCAGGCTCCTTCCTCTTCTTACTGCTGTCTAGTTCTCAGCAAACAAAATAAAAGTAATATTTTAAAGTAGCTACCATTTATAATATTAGCTGTTAAATTTATTTGCAACCAAGTACATCTTCATTTTTAATACATTAATACATAAGATAAATCAGTCTAGATATCAGTCTAATTTCTTCATGATAATGTGACCAGTAATCATATTATATTTATTGAATACAGTAGCATCTACTGATATCTTATTTTTTCCTGTGTACCGTAACAAATGCAAATTCTCTGTAATTCTGTATCAATTAGATGGTTTAAATTAGTCTCTAATCTTCCTTGTTTTGTCTTTGTCACTATAATTTGATAATCTTAGATTAAGCTGCTAAGTAAGGCATCTCAATTAATCATATAGTCAGAAACAATCAATTTAATATATTAACTCACCTGTCTATCTCAACTTGTTTGTGATATAACAGCTGCTGGTTTTACTTCAGCAAGCATTGCTGTTCACATTCCTGAAAGGAAAGCATTGTTTTTAGCTCCGGTCTAGCCCATTCCATGAACAAGTACAACTGCTCCATGGGGTTTTCAAATCCTTTGGAAGCAGATCACCAGGCCGTCTTATAATGTGCCACAGAGTGGGTTTGAACTGTGAACCTTTGGGCTAATAGTTGATGTTTAATTGTCTGAGTCATCTCGGGACTCCGAAAGGTGAGTGTTGTAATGAGGTGCTATTTAGTTGGTTCCAACCCTATGTACAACAGAATGAAACACTATTAAGGCCATTAAAATATTTCTTGTGTGTTATCAATATCAGTCAAAGTCATTTAAATATTTCTGAAAATTGTAAATCCAAAATGTAGACAGCCAAAGAACTCTTAGTGGAGATAAATGCGGATCTACTCCCAACTTTGTCACAAGATGAATTTTTTAATCTGTTGCTTCATATTTCTTGGATTTCTTCTTTAGGCAAATATTATCATTTGGATTTTACCATTAGATGTGGTAGCTCCAGAATTGATTCTGAGGAATATAGAGCATTAAGGACAAAAAATAAAGTGAAATTAAAAACAAATAAACCACAAACGAACAGACCACCATTTGAATAAGATTTAACTCAGAATCCATTTGAGTCTAAGTTAACTCTGCCCCAGATATACAAAATCCAAATACAAGGGGTGATTTTATAGAATGGTATAGGTATTACAGTATACTAGAGAAAGCGTAACTAATTGCAGAAATATTATGCGAGCCTATTAATTATTTCTGAGATATAAAACCCATAGTCACATATTCATCATTTTATTCATGTATTCTGATATAGGGCACAAACCAATAAGAATACATTTACCATAAATTTAGTTTTACTTATTCTTAAACCATCCCTGCTCCCACAATTATTTTTACTCTCAACACCATGAAGATAAGTGGTTAAAAACATAATTCCTTCTATTTATTTGTTCTGATAGAGTTAAGAATAAGACTCGGGAAAATGAAAATACTTGGCCAATATGAAACTATAATCAGAAGAGTGAAATTATTTTGAATCCAGATGTGGCAAAGGTCATAAGAAAGCATCCTAAGTAATTGTTGAGGTAAAAAGCTCATTCTTTGAGATCAACTTTTTCAGGTAAAAATCTCATTAGAATTTTAAACCAATTAAAAAATGACAGTGTTCAAGTCAAGTGGAATTATAGTTTTAATTGGATAATCTAATAAGAGAAAGAGGTAAAAAGAAAGGTCACTTGTCAATATGGAAATGAACAATTTTACTACCAGTTTACCTCCATCATGCCCTTATCTGTCCACCCCGTGCCTTAAACTGTCTTTTGGGATTAGGAAGTTCAGTTTTGTGTCCCTGGGTGTAAGGAAGAATTGCCTTTCGCCATTATTACAACAAGCACTGCCTCCGAATATTTCCCTCCAATTAAAATATTAAGCAGAATGTGTCTCTGGTAGTACATGACAGTGACTTTGAAATTGTCATTGTTGTCTAATTCACCCAACAGAGCAGGGCAGGACTAATTTTTTTTTAAAGCATGACTATGTTTAGCTTTATTTTATAGAACAGAGAATATAAAAGTACTCAATAACAACTTGGCTATAGTTAGTGGAAGACATACTTTTGATAGCATCTCCTAGGGATGTGATCTACAGGAACTTATAAGTTACCAACCTCTCCAACTATGTAAGGTGAGGGATTCAAAGTGGCTAAACATTTTTGAATAACATAGTAATGATCATAACATTCTCTATTACCCTTAAAAAACAAACAAAAAAATCCTAGCCAACTGAACTAACAAATGCACTGCCATTTGGTTGATTCCAACTCATAGTAACCTAACGCAGGGTTCCCAGATGGCTGCACCTCTGCCACGGGAGCAGCTGATGGGTATGGGTTGGAACCACGACTTTGTGATTGGCAGTCTAACGCTTAACTCAGAGCGCCACCAGGGCTTCTCTGTTATCCTTAACTCATTTACTCACCGCCATCAAGATGATTCTCACTCAGAGTAACCCTATCCAAAACTCACTGCCATTGAGTCGGACTCTTCACGAGAATAGAACGCCCAGTCTTTCTCTCTCCGAGAGGTTGCTGGTTTGGAACTGTTAACCTTGCCAATCACAGCCCAACTCGTAACTACTGCGCCACCGGGGCTCCACATCGTAACCCTATAGGACAGGGCAAAACTGCCACTGTTGAGTTTCCAAGACAGTAACTCTTTACTGGAGTAGAAAACCCCATCTCTCTACGAGGGACGGTTCACGCTGCTGACCTCGTGGTTAGCTGGCAGGGCAACAGATAACCCAGGACACCACAAGGATTCCTATCCTTTAATCACTTGTAAAACAAAAATTTCATTAGCTCTGTGAACATAAGGATTTCATCAATCACAATCTTGGATAAGGAAAAGTGATAGTTAAAAAGATCACTCTGAATGAATTTATGAGATTCCCTCATTGATCCATATAATTCCTATGAAAATGAAAGTTAATCTGTTCTACTAATATACAATTTCAAGTAAGCTCAATTTATATATAAAATTTAAGTGCATTCTTTTTTGGAGTTTCTCAGATAAGTATTAAAATATACCTTGTTGAGTTGTGAATTTCACTGGATGAACTAATTGGTCTATTTAATCTCTTAGTGCCTAGTTTCTTTTAGTTGATAGTAACAATTATCAGTGTATTAATTGTGTATCCTGAATACTCCCAACTCCTTTTATTGGTCTCCCTTCTATGATTTGTTACCAGGTAGTTTATATAAATCAACTTTTCACAAAGAGGATTCCATGAAATTGTGAATAGGACTTATGGGATATGTTTGACTAAATAAAGTCAAACAAATCTTTTATTTTAGGGTTTGTTATAACTTCTATAAATAGTAAAGGTCTGAATTTTAGGACAAGACAACCCAAATTCAAATTTTAGCTCCAACATTTCGCATTATATTATTTTTGGCCAATTTCTTAACCTCTCTTCTCCTCAGTTTGTCATAGGTCAAAACAACATATAATATATTGTGTTAGCCTGGGTAGACTAGCAAAACAAATTCAAATACACTCATATGTGTGTAAGAAAGAGTAATTGTACATTTAGAAAATATCCTAGCCCTGTCCAGATCAAGTTCATAAGTCCAATAATAGCCCATATGTCCAATACCAATCTATAAATTTCTCTTCAGACTCACTGCAACACAAGCAATGATACAGAATGCAGGAAAATCACAGGTCAGTGGGTGGAAGGTCTTGTGGATCCAGTGGCAGTGGAAGCATCTCAGTGCTGGCAGGGGTGTCCACAAGGCTCCTTCAGCTCCAGGGCTCTAGCATAGCTCCATATGCCTTGTCAACAGGAACATCGCACTGGGAGTGTGTGTCCCACCTCCAGCAAGCTGTTTATCTCCTTAGCACCTCCAAATGAGGTCATCAAGCTGCGACCTGATTGACAGGCTAAACTCCACCCCTTCACTCATAGGAGTCTCAGATTGACAACAGATTATGTAACTACCACATATATAATGTATTACATAAGGTTGTGTGGATTAAGTAAAATAACAAATGTGGAACACTTAGAGTCAATCTGATATAATAATTTCACAGATGTGTGATGATGAGATTGCAATATCTTATTCTTAATTCAATAATAGACCAAATATTGGGAGAAATGCATTGTCATTTATGTCTTGTGTCCCTGACATATGATACATAGTAAATAGAAATCTACTAATATTTCACCTTTTCTTTAGTAAGTTTGCCTCATGCAAAATACAGTTAGGGGTGTTTGATATAGGAACTTGAGTTTATTTCATAGTCAGTTGTTTCCCCCCCCAGGAACTCCCAGTCTTGTGATGATGGTGCTGTAAATATATGGGACATCATTTAGCTAACTCTAAAATGTGATTTCTGCCCTCCTGACATTCTGATTTCCTCGTGCTACTTGCTGTGTATTCAAACAGTTTTCTTCCCGTTGTTTCAGGCAGGAAAAGTTCAGTTTGGATATGTGTACGGCATGAGTGCTATTGGCTGCATCGGGATTCATGCTTTACTGAACTTGATGAGCTCTTCTGAGGCGTCCTACGGTTGTGTGGCGAGTGTGCTTGGTTACTGCCTGCTCCCCATGGTCATCCTGTCCAGCTGTGCCGTCTTCGCTTCACTTCAGTAAGTGTGTGTATGATCTAATTGACCCCACATGCACAATTATCACTAAGGTGCGCCACATAGAGCAGAAGTTAACCTCTTTCTGATCACGTGGGTAGTGGAGTTTAGGAAGCTGCTAGAAGCTTCACACTGATTCAGAAAAGTAGGTCAGTTTTGTCTCAGGTGCTGCTCCTATTTCAATGAATTTTTTTTTCTTCAAAAAAAGCGAAGTTATCTCTGGAACTGATCCTTCTTAAAGCTGTCACATTCTTCAATGAGAATGGCTGCCCTGAGTAATGAAACCACTACAGAAATTCACTTGTTTGATTTCAGAAAAGTGAGCGTGTGGTGAACACTGACAAATTACCTCAACTCCCAGGCATTTTATCTTTGAGGCGGGAAGCAACTGCTCTTTCTCAGCTGGGGTTTTGCAGCACAGAAGTCCCAGGACCCCTGATGGGGATGCTAGTGCTTGAGGACATGACAGCATGGACGATCTGTCCCCTTTGTCCTCTTCCTTCACGACATTTCTGAAACGCAAGATGATTGTGGAAGATATAAGTTTCTGGTGGGCATGTCCCCTGGACATATAAGTGTTACTGCCACTTAGGTTGGGGTCAGAAAAAGATTACATAGTTCTTTGGCACCTGCTATGCTCCAGAACAACACAGGAATACGCATTGTCCATTGATGCTCATTATTGCACATGCAAAGGAACACCGTTCAAATGTCCTTTTGAATTGGTCTGTTATAGATTAGTAGCACTACATGGTTACTAATGTGATTTTATGTGAACAATTTACCAATGCTGTGGTAAACATCTTAGAAATCCCTTTATTGTTGTGCTGCCGTGCTGAGTCAGCGCCAACTCATAGCAAACTCAGACACCACAGAAGGAAACACTTCATGGTGCGGAGCCGTCCTCAGGTGCGACACTGCGCCCCTTGTTGCAGTTACTGTGGTGGCCCTCCTCACGGCAGGCCTTCCTTTCCCCTGACCTGCTTCTTGACCAAGCCCGGTGTACTTCTTTCTACCCGGATGAGTCTCTTCTAATGACATGTCCAAATGATGTGAGCTTAAGTCTCACTCTCTTAGCTTTTAAATATCGTCCTGGCTGTACTTCCTCCAAGACAGTTTTGTGTGTTCTTCTGTTAGTCCATGGTACTTTCAATATTCTTTGATAATGCCATACTTAAAATGCATCCATTTTTCTCTACTCTTCTTTACTCATTGTCCATCTTTCACATGCAAATGAAGTGACTTAAAATACCGTGGCTTGTATTAAGTGCACCATAGCCATAAAAGCAGTATATATTTCCTCTTTTACTCTTTACAGTGCTTTTACTTAGCAGGCTTGCTCAATGCAATGCATTGTTTGATTTCTTCCCTGTTGCTTCCATAGACATTGATTGTGGATCCAAGTACAATAAGATCTTTAGAGACATCAACCTTTTCTCTGTTTATCATGATGTGACCTATTAATCCAGTTATGATCACTTTGGTTTTCTTTACATTGAATCATAATACATGCTGAAGGGTGTAGTCCTTGATCTTCATCAGTAAGTAATTAAAAGCTTGCTGGCTTTCAGCAAGAAAGGTTGTGTCTTTCACATACCACAGGCTGTTAATGAGCCTCCCTCCAATCCTGATGCTGTGTTTCAGCTTGGATAATTTGCTCGATGTACAGACTGACAATGCATGGAGAAAGTAGTGTTTATAGAGTTTGGGAATTTGGGGGGTTCTTACAGCTCTTAAAACAATTCATATATCAATTGTGCATTTGTTGCCATAATTATTTTCAAAATATTTTCTTTCTACTGGAGTCCTTGGTATCTGCTCCTCATTTTTTAATTGTTTTATTAGGGGCTCATACAGCTCTTATCACAATCCATAATACATCAATTGTGTAAAGCACATTTGTACATTCATTGCCCTCATCATTCTCAAAA